CACTTCATAACTAAAAAAAAAAAATAAATAAATAATATAAAACAATAAAAAACATTTCATCTCCTCTGGTCTCGAACCCGGACCAAGCTGCATCCGAGAGGTGCCTCTACCAACGCAGCCACTGCCCTTCTTACGCGAGCTGTTGCAAATTTGAACATAAGTAGCAGCTAATAATTCAGCACAATTCAATCGCAATTTCAATTCTTGGAATAGAAAAGTATACACGCATTTGAATGTATGTGTGCACACGCATAGGAAAAATGCGTGCGCGTGGCGCTGCTGACATGTGCTTTTGCAAATTGGCCAAACGTTTTGTTTAATAACTTCTGTTTTACTTAATGGATTTTAATGAAATTTTCAGCATATGATCTACATATCCTATTGGCTTGGTTGAGATGCAAACGCCTTCACATAATGGCCCTAGTTCCAACTAAACTTAAATTCTAAGAATTTGGGGGAATTTGGAGCCGGTATCCAAAATCCAACAAAAATCAAAATTGCATAAAATATACATAACACTAAATACAAAATTTGGAGGCTCTAGCTCTTAAGACGTTCGAGATATAATTTATTTACTGCATTTCAATAATGTTTTTATTCGATAACAATTAAATGCGAATAGTTATCGAATATTTGAAACAAACTTGACCTGCGCGTGCTATACACGGACCTACAAAAAAAATTTCAAGTCTCTAGCTCTTATAGATGCTGAGATCCACGCGTTCACACATACGGACAGACGGACAGACGGACAGACGGACAGACGGACAGACGGACAGACGGACAGACGGACAGACAGACAGACGGACAGGGCTCAATCGACTCGGCTTGTCGTCCTGATCAAGAATATATATACTTTATGGGGTCTGCCACGCCTCCTTCTGCCTGTTACATACATTTGCACAAAACCATTATACCCTGATTTCCCATTTTTAATGGGATCAGGGTATAAAAAGAGAGAGCGAAAGAGAGAGCTAGAGCAGAGATTCATTCAATTGCATTATGCAAATTGATGAAAATATGAAAGCGGCTCAAAATGTGAAAAGAGAGAGCATAAAATGAATAACTTGATTAAAGCGATACATATAGCATAGATATAGCATATATCTCTTATGCTAATGGCGTACTTTATGTTAGATTAAAAGTCCTCTTTTGCAGCTGCAGCTGCTCTTGGCCAATATTCAAGGAGAAGCTTTTGAGTGATTACAATTTGATTTGTATAATGTTATATATAATAACAAAAGGTTAGGTAGAGCTAGTTAACTATATTAAGATTTTACTTCCTTGAAGGTTTCTACTGTGCGGAATTACACACTCTGATATTTGTGCCAAACAATATACAATATATAATTTCTTTGCACAAAACAGCTTAAGTCTCTGAAGCTCTGGAGCTTCTCCTTTTCAAATGCTCAGTCAACCATTTCACATATCTCTTACTGCTATCATCTCAACCTCTCTCCTGTAGACTATCTGTGATTGGTTTACTGAAGTTCTAAGAAAATCAAAAACCTGATCTCATCACCAACTAATGACTAATCAAGTTTCAAATTCAGATTTTTCTATGTGGTAAAGAAATTGTGCTAGCTGTTTTATTAAAGAGCTTCACATATATTTTATAAAACCAAAAGTTTCATTTAAGCCGCTTCACTCTATGTAACAATTACAATTTCGTAGAATTTTTCGGTATAAAAGCTAATCAAGACATTTTACAGTCTAAATGGCTGCGGGCTTACTAAGAAATGTGTCGTCTCTCGCTTGAGAAGCGACAGCTAAGCATATATTGAAAGTTCGTTCCTGGAAAAGCATGTTCCAGGCACAAAGCCCTTACCACTAAGAGCGCTCAACTAAAAAGCTTTTACAACTTAAGTTAAACTAAAATTGTTAAAATAGAAAATACAATTTGAAATGTTTTAAATTTTTGAAATAAATTTGTTTATTGTTTGCTTGGTTTTCCTTTTCCTTTGTTTTCTCTCTCTCTCCATCGTCGTCTTTCTTAGCTTCACTTATTTTATATCCGTCACATAGTTAGCAACTGCTTTGCGATTATTTAAAATAAAATTTTCGCTTACGAACTAAATAATGGGCCATGTTTACATTAAACAGAAACGAAACTTTTGCTTTTCATTTTATTTTTATAATTTAGTATATATATATATATATGTATGTATATATATTTATGTTAAAGTAATAATTGTGGCTTCTTTAGGAACCCAAAAGAGATGTTTCAAATTATGTTTAGCTGCGGCTCTTGCTGGCTGCACAATTCGTTGCATACTTTTGCGGGCATTTGGAAAATATGAAAAGGCAAATGAAAATGTGCGTGGAAAAAAAATTTATATATAAATTTACAATAATTAATTTGATTATTTATTTATGTTAAAATATACTTTAAATAATAAATAAAAAGAGAAAAAATTGTTTTAATGTAATGTGTCATATTAAAGGGAAAGTAAAAGCTCATGATGTGTATTTGCCAGCTCCGCTGGGGAACATTTTTCTCTCTTTCTTCTACAATTTCTTAATTGAAAATATGAAAGAGCAAATGAAAATATAAGTAGCAAAAGTTTTTAAAAAATGTGACATTAGTGAATTTAATTATTTATTTCTGTTAAAAACTTCTTTAAGCATTAAATAATAATAAAAAATTCTTAAAATATATTTTATTATGCGAAAGGAAGACTAAAAGCTGAACAAGTGAATTTGCCAGCTGCGCTAGGGTTTTTCCTTCGTTCTTCTTCTTCTACAATTTCTTTGTTGGAGTTTTTAAAAATTGGGAATGTGAAAATTTGTTATGTACGAGTGAAAGTTATTTGGTTTTTTCAGTGTTTTGATTAAATTTAGCTAAAAATTTTGGCAGCAACTGCTGCTTGACTCTTTAGAATAATAATAATAAATATATGTATATATATTTATATATAATAAAAAAACTAAAGTTTTTTTCTCATTTTTTCATGCTTTCAATTTACAATGGCTCATTTGTTATATTGTAATTAAAATGCTAGTAAATATTCGTATTTAGTATATGTTACTGTTTTTTTTTTATAGCTTTGCTTGCATTTAAATTCTTTTCGGAATGTTTTGAAACGTGTTTTTTTCTTGTTTTGTCTTATTCGCATTTAATTTATTGGCAGTTGTACAATACAATGCATGTGTGTGTCTGTTTGAGTTTGATATTTATATATTTATAAGTATAAGTGTGTGTGTTTGTTTTTTATATACATTATAATTTATTCATATGTGTTTGTTAGTGTGTGTTTGGCTTTTCTTTCTCGCATTTTTTCCATATTTTTTTGTTTGGTTTGTTTTTTAAATATGTTTGCATTTGCCTTTTGCGCCTTTTTGGCCACGCCCTGCGCCAAGCGCCGCGAAAATTCAATCAACAATAAATGCCTGCGAACTACCACATATTTTGTTATTGTTGTTGTTGCTGCTGCTGCCGTTGTCTTTTGTTGTTTTAATGGCATGCCATTAAATAATTTCATTAAATGCTTTGTATGAGACATGAATGGCATAAAAAAGGTCGTCCCATTGTTTTTCCCCTGTTGTTTCATGTTTGTTTTTTATTTTTTGCAAATTCCGTCAGTTTCTTCAATCAATTTACAAAAGCAAACCAACCAAACTTGATAAAACACATACAAATTTAATCGAACACATATTTTTTATGCGCAATAAATAAATATTTGGAGTCGCTCTTTTAAATACTCTAACAAGGGCAGTAACTATAAGATTGGTAACATAAACTATGTAAAATATATACATTAAAAGCGCAATATAAATTTTTTATATATAAATTTAAATTTATAAAGAAATTGAGCTGGAAATAATTAAATTTCTATGCAGAAAATATACGTTTTTATAGTTTTTTTTTGAAATTGCTGTTGAGTCATAAAAATAATATTCAATTTTTATTTAGAAGTAAATTTATTAAATATTTTTTAATATTTAATACACAAGCTAGAAAGCTAAAAATTTGTAAATTCAATAAATTTTGCATACATTAAATCAATTATTTCTAGTTGAACTTTTCTAGAATTTCATTTGTTTTTATATATAACAAATGAGTTGTAAAAATTAATTTATGTAAAATTAAATAACATAATTTGCATGCAAATTTAAGATAAAATCTAAAAAGTTTTCAATTTTATCAATTTCTGCTTGGGTTAGATTGTGTGTTGTTATAGTTGGTACGTTAGTTCGGTTCGGTTCGGTTCATTGTTTGCGGTTCGTAAGCTTAATTGTTATCAGCGAGCGCGTCATTATCGCATGGCCATGGGCAACTGCGTGTGTGTGTGTGTGTGTTTGATTTACTATGATATTTATTTTTGCATTCGTTGAGTGTCAGCTATTAATAATAATATTTTTATGCATATTATTATTATTTTTTCATCGCAGTTATTATAATGCCATCCATTGTTGTGTATTTATTTATGCTTCCTCTTGCCCCACTGTATTTAATTGTTTGATTTTCATCATGCGATTTCCTTACATGCTAATTAATTTGCGTCTGTTCGGCGCGCGGTCTGGTGGCTCGCACCACCAGCGCACATATTTGTTCTGTGGCTGACTTGGATTTTGTCAATATTCTGTGTCTCAGGTCTATTTAATTAATTCTCATTTAAATACTACTATTGTTAAACATTATTTCCTTCGCAGCTGTAAAAAATGCCTTCACATATATTTATATATATATTTTTTATGACATACTTTTTGCATGGCAAATAAAATGTTTGTTTTTTTGCTGTTTGGTTTATTGAACAAATTTATATTTTATCGATTTATTTTTGCAATTGTTATTTTATTTATTAATTATAATTAATGCTTTAATAATTTAAGTTGTAGTTTTGTATGTACAAATGCGTCTGCCAACTGAACTTCCTTTCATATCTCGATATTCGTATTTATATATATTTATATATATATATTTATATTTATATTTATAATTATATTTTTATTATACACTGCAATAAATTAGCGAACGTTTTTAGTGTATCAAGTGGGTATTATGTACAGGTTAAGTCAGTTTTAATTAATTCAAATAACTAAAAGTATCAGTCTCTTCCACTGCCCCCAAATGTATGCTATGCTCTCTGTCCCCTTCCTGCTCTTTCCCAAAACTTGACTATATTTAGTTTTTAATTTAGGTTTAGTTGTTCAGTTTAGTTTTAGTCGTAGTTGTAGTTTTAGTGTTAGTTTTAGCTTTAGTTTAGGTTAGTTTGCCTTGCTTATAAATTCACTGGTTGTTCGTCTAACTGGTCGCGACGCCTTCCCTTGCTTTGGCTAGGTTACGCCCACAGATCATGGAGCGGCTTGCTGGCGCCGCCATCGTCCAGCTCATTGAGGCTCAAATTCGATTCGTAGTGCGTCAGCTCCGGCTGGCGACTGTTGTTGCTGCTGCTGCTGATGGTGGCGCTGCTCTGGGTGCCGCTCTCCAATCCCCCGCAGCCGCAAAGCAGCTCATCATCGGCATTGCAGTTGCAGGGCTTTTTGCAGTTGTAGGCGCCAGCGCTGACGGCGGGCGGCACAAAGTTCGAGCTGAACGAGCTGGGCAGCCCAGCTGCAGCTGCTGCTGCTGACACCGCTTGGCTCTTCGCTGCTCGCTTGGCCGTGCCTATGCACTCGCAGTTGCTGCCGCGCTGCTGCAGCTGCTGCTTGGCATAGTCCACGCTGTCGTAGGCGGGCGCCTGGCCAGCGGCCAAGTACGCGGGCACCGCATACTCGTGCTGACTGCGTCGATGTTGCTGTTGCAGCTGCAATTGCTGCTGCTGCTGCTGTTGCTGCTGCTGCTGCTGCTGATGCGGATGGTGTTCGAGCGTTTTGGCCATGCCAGCTACACTGAGTTCGCGCTGCTTCTTGGTCAACTGGTTCATCGTATTGAACTTGCAAGCTGCCGCTGCAGCCGAGGCAGATGTGGGTATGGGCTTGTAGCCGCGGGCGCCGCACTCGTTAATCGTGGCATAGTTGTTGCTGCTGCAGTCCGCGTACAGCTTATCTGCGATGCGTGCAGCGGGCACTGGCACCGGCACGCCACCCACGCCCGCCTGATACTCGTGGGCCGTGGCATACATGTTCACCGAGGAGCTGCGTGCGGCCAGGCAGCCAGTCACCCGCTTGTTGTTGTTGCCTCTTCCATGTGGCAGCGGCAAGGCGAGGCGCAGCTTCTGCCAGAACTTCTTGTCATCCCACTCGATGCAGGTGCTCGTGCGCAGATAGTGCCGCATGTCCAGATCGATGTCGCGCTGCGGCAAGTCGCCGTAGAGTATGAAGACCACGCGCTTGCGGCGCTTCACCAGCTCATGGAGCGCGCTCTTGTACTCGAAGCGTGTCCACTCGTTGTACAGGAAGTTCTTCGAGAGCACCAACACAAACTGCTTAGCGCTCTCGGCAGCCTCGATCAGGGCATCCGTAATGTAGGCATTGATGTTCACGTCTCGATAATGCAGGCATAGCCGATAGCCGATGTCGCTCTCCAGGGTGTTGGCCAAGATCTGGTTGACGAAGTGCTCGTCCTGCAGGCTGTAGGCAAAGTAGGCGTCATTCGGTCGCTCCTTGTCCAGTTGGTCCACAAAGCGGGGCGAGCGGTAGCAGAAGGTCAGCAGGCAGCTGCTCGAGTGGGCCCACATCTTGAGCTCGTGGCGATAGCAGAACAGTCCAAAGATGAGGCCAAAGAAGCCGACGAAGGCGCAGGTGGCCACCAGGAGCAGCGGCAACAGGCCCTCGATCTCATTGGTGTGCATATAGTGGGCGACGCCATCTCTCAGGGTGCACTTGGTGCCATTCTTCTCGCGCAGCACGCTCGTCGCATTGTTGTAGATGCAGCTGACTCGAGCGGCGTCCAAAATCTTCTCGGAGCTTTGGGCGAGGTAGTTGCGGAAGCGGGACAGATAGCCGCACTCGCAGCTCCACTGGTTGTCGGCCAGGCTGATCTCCACGAGATAGGGATTCGAGGCGAGCTGCCAGACCTCAAAGTGCATCAGGCGGTTGCCATCCAGACGCAGCACCTCCAGCTTGCGCAGCATCTGGAAGCTGCCATTGGCGATGCTTGCAATGCGGTTCGACTGCAAGTAGAGCTCGCGCAGATTCTCCAGATTGTGGAACTCGTTGCCTTCCAGCGACACAATGTGATTGTCCTCCAGATGCAGCACCAGCAGCCGCTTCAGGCCACTGAACGTCGTGTTGTAAATGTGCGCCACGTTCGAGTTGTTGGCATAGAGCACGGCCAGATTCTTGCGGCCAAGGAACGAGTGGCCCGCTAGCTCCACAAAATTGTTGCCATCGATGTAGAGCTCGGTGGTGTCCATGGGCACACGGCGCGGCATCTGGGAGTAGCCAGCGCCGGAGCATTCGACAATGTTGGTCGACCAGGTCTGGTCGTGGAAGCAGGTGCAGTTGGTGGGGCAGGTCATCTCGCAGTCGCAGGCATCGAACTCGCAGCAGTGGCAAACGGCGAAGCAGTGCGTCTTGTAGGTGCACAGGAAGTGCTTGGGCTCTGCCTCCAGCAGCGGTATGTAGGCGCGTTCTCTATTATTGAGCAGCTTGCAGTAGATGGTCTCCAGGTCCATGATGCGTGGATACTGCCGCGATGTGATGTGGTTGATCTTCTGCAGCCAGTCGATGTTGCAGTCGCAGGTGAAGGGATTGCCCCCGATATAAAACTCGGGCAAGGCTCGTTGCTCGTGCACGGGCAGGATGCGCAGGGACTTGATGTCCAGCGTGTTGATCTGATTCGCATACAGATCGACGCGAGTGAGATTCGCCTTGTGCATAAAGGTGTCCGGGTCCACGGTCGTTATGAGATTGTCGTTCAAGAAGAGCAGCTCAATGGAGTTGGGTATGGAGGCGGGGCCAATGCGCTGCAGCTGATTGAAGCTGACGTCCAGCGTCTGCAGGCGCAGCTCCGCATCGAGCCCAAAGCGATTCGATAGCAGGCTCAGGCGATTCTTGTGCAAGTCGAGCCACTGCAGCGTGCTGGGCGTATGGCCATAGTCGAAGCTCTCCAGCCGATTGTCGGAGATGTTGAGCCAGAGCAGCGAGGGCATGTTGCTGAAGAGGCCATTGATGTCGGTCAGCTCATTGCCGTCCAGGCGAATCGCCTGAATGCTGGAGGTCATCTCGAAGGCGCCCGGCTCAACGACGGCAATGCGATTCCTCGCCAGATTCAAGATTTGCAGGCTGGGCAGGTCACGAAACGTGTGCATGGTAATGTTCTCCAGGTAGTTGCCAATCAGACGCAGGCCATACAGATTGCCCAGGCCTTTGAAAGCGTTCTCCTCCAGCACAGTGACCATGTTCTCACCCAGATCGACGGTGCGCAACAGGCGCATGTTCCTTAGCGCCAGTGGCACCGTCTTCAGCTGATTGCCATTGAGATTGAGATCCTGCAGAGCGCTGCAGTTCCTGAACGCATCCGGATGCACGCCAATCAGCGCATTGTTGTCCAAGGACAGCAGCGAGAGCACATAGAGACCATTGAGGGCATAGGCGTCCAGGTACTTCAGCTTGTTGTGCGAGAGGAGCAGCGTGTGCAGGTTGTTCATGGGCGCAAAGGTGTCGGCGGCAATGTTCTCCAGCTGATTGTGGCGCAGGTTGAGAATCTGCAGCGTATACAAATCGCTGAAGATTTCCGGCTCCAGCTTGGTCAGCTTGTTGTGCGAGAGATTCAGCAGGACGAGGCGAATAAGACCCACAAAGGTATTGCGGTCGGTCCACGTGGAGGTGATTTGATTGAAGGACAAGTCGAGTGCCTGCAGCTGGTCCAGATTGGAGAAGAGCTGAGGGCTGAGCACACTGATGGAGTTGTTCTGCAGATAGACCTCCTGTATGGTCTTGGACTGCTCCGCGAACAGCTCGGATGGCAAGGCGACAATCTTGTTGGAGCTCAGATTGAGCACCTGCAGGTTCTTTAGGCCACTCAACGCTTTGTCCGCAATCATCGAAATCTCATTGTTGTTCACATGCAGCACACGCAGGCGGCGCAGCGTGCCAAAGCCGTTTGCAGGCAGCAGCACGAAGTGATTGAAGCTGACGTCGAGCAGCTCCAGGTCGAGGGAGCACGAGCTGGCAGCACGTCTGCCCGCCTCGGTGGTGGAGCTGGAGCTAGACTCTGTGGACGTGGCCGTCTCTTTGCTGCGATCCCTGAAGCCCAGCTCATTGACATCCTGCAGGCGATTCTCGCTCATGTTCAGGGCGGACAAGGCGGACAGCGTGCAGAATATGTTATCAGGCAGCGACCAGATGTTGTTCGAGCTCAGGTCCAGTCTCTCCAGCTGTTTGGTCACGGCGAACGCGTCCGCCTCAATCTCAAAGTTCAGCGCTGGCCACAGAATGTTGTGGGTGCGCAGCGTGAGATTCCGCAGCTGCTCGAGCCCGTCCAGCACCTGGCGGCCCAGCTTGCCCAGCTTGCAGTACTGTATGGACAGCTGCTGCAGGCGTGCCAAGTGGGCGAACGACTGCGCCTCCAGGCGGCTCTTGGCCATGATCTCGTCGTTGCACAGGATGTGCAGAGCAACCGTGTGCTCCGCGGGAATCACACTAAAGTTGGTCGTATCAAATTCGCTGTTCACCGTGCGCAGATTGCAGGTGAGCGCAATTTCGGGCTGCTCCAGGCCAGCAGCGGGCATAAAGTGGCAGTCGTCGGGCGCATCATACAGGCCCGCATCTCCGCCAGAAATGGGGCGCAATGTGCGTGCCGGCGTCGAGGGCGGCAGCAGCTGCGAGTTGGAGACGCCCGCCTCGCCCATGATGGCATTCGAGTGCGAATGCGTCTGCTGCTGATGCTTCTTGCTGTTGCTGGACAACGGCTCCGAATGGCTTGTCACAGCATCCTGGCTGCTGATGCTGCTCGCAATTAGCAGCAGCAGCTGAAGTAGAAGGCACTGGCACAATGGATTCAACATTTTCTGTGTGTGTGTGTGTGTGTGTGGGTTGGTGTGTGTGTGAGTGTGTACGTTTCTCCTCTACTTAACTTTTGCTGGAGAGTGTAACGGGTTGAAATGAAAAAAACGTAACGAAAATCAATTCCACTTGCTGTTGGCCAAAAACTTTGGACACATATTTGCGGCTGCTTCCGCTACCCTTCTGCTCGCACACAGTTCACAAATCGGGCTTGGGGCTTGAGTTGTTGATGTTAATCGTAATTGGCGTGGCCAACTTAACGGTTTACTGTTACTCGCAGCCACACATTATATAGAATGTACATAGACGCATCACTAATGTGTATTCGTTTATTTTATTTTATTTAATTTATTTATTTTTTAGGAACCTTGTTGGAATTTTTAATTGCTGCGGGCCACTCGCGACGTGCTATTATCACTTTTGTATATTCGTTTTGCTGTTGCTGGGGTTAACTTATAACGGTTCACGTTGTGGTGCGGCGTGCGTGCGTACGTCGTCTCTATGCAGTATGTCTGGCGCGCACGCTAGCTGAGTGTCGACTGACTGCCGCAACGTGCGCAACTCTCACTTAAATAGAGAGTCGGACCACAGGCGACCGTTGCGTCGCCCGAGTGCCAAACACACAGAGCCGAGCCGAAGACTGCACAACAGAAACGACAACGACAGCGCAAGAGAGGGAAATTTCAAAGGCAGAGAGCGCAACGCAGCGGGAGCGCAAGCCTTAAAGGAAATTTGCTCCGCTTGAGTGCGCTACACACAGAGAGCGAAAGATGCTGCTGCTTAGAGGGTTTCTAATCGCATCAAACAGCTGGCGTTCCTTTTGGCCACGGTACATTTTGTTGTTTTTTGTTCTTTTTTGTTTTTGCTATTTGCCTCATCCTTGTTTTTGCCGAGAGCCGCCGAGTCGAGTCTTCGACTTTGTATCTGTTTTGATAATGAAAATATATGATGTGCAGGCCAGCGCCAATCTTCATACAAATGTAATTTATTTTTATATCCATGTGTGTGTCAGTGTGTGTTTGTGTGTGTGCCTGCTGTCTACGTCTATGCGTGCGTATGTACGTCTGGCTCTGTGTCTGTGTGCCTGTGTGTGTGTGTGACATATAAAAATAATAATTCCTTACATTCCATTAAATTACAATAATAATTTTAATTAAACTGTTTTGTTTGCGCTTGAGGTAACATTCTCTCAGCTCAGTTTGTCTTGGCTTGATGACTTTCTTTGCATTCACAATTTATCACTTGCTCACATCATCATCATCAACATTATCATTATACCCATTGTCCTGTGTGGCCTGTTGTCATTGCCTTTATGATAATTGCTAAATTGGCTACAGCAAAAACTCCCTTTTGCTCTTCTTTTTGTGGCTTACTTGAGTTGGGATAGGCTCAAAAATCAATATACTGCATTTCAGCTGTGCTTTATCGTAAGATGATAATGATGTGAAAAATGATGATGATGTTGAGGAAGCTCTGGGCGCAAACAGGAAGTTGGCAAACATGGATATGCTGTTAGCCAGTTGGGCATAAACGGGTCAAGCTCTCTAGCCTTAAGAAGAGCAAAGCCTTTTGGGAACTGATTCAATTGGAGCTTTATAAGGAGCTAAGCAGCACAGCTGCAGCTCAATAGGTCAAAGGCTTGGAGATATATATTAGATATACAATAATAGGTCAAAGGATGAAAGGATGAAAGATTACTTAGAATAGTTAGTTTGGAGATAAACTTAGAATAGTTAACTACCAGATGGAATCACTTAGACAACAAAAAAGGCCATCAGAATCATAGATATCCTTACTTTCTCTAAAGATCTACGCCCTGGCATACATACTTCATATATCCCTCACACACTCACAATATCATCATAGCCCTAATTTCATTATCTTGTCCTATTTGTCCACTCGGCTTTGCTCACTTTTCCCACACTGCTTTGCAATCAAGATTCTATACTAAGCCATGCTAGAGCTAATGCAGTTTCGCAAAAATTCGCGCCATCTTGGAGTTAAGCATCTCATCAGCTGGGCGCAGGTAAGTGTATGTGACACCTGTCCCCACGCTGTTTGGCAAACACACGGCCTAATGCTCTAATCAAGATGCAGCAGCCAGCAAAGCCTTTCAGGCTGTTTGCTAAACTTATCTTATCGCATAAGGAAATCGGTTAAGAAATGCGCTAAGACGCAGCTCAGAGCAGCCTATGGCAACTGAGCTGAGACAGATAGAGGGAGAGAGAGAGAGGGAGAGAGCGAGCATGGGTCGCCAGGCAAAACCGATTTGCAGTTAGAGTAATGCAAAAGCCAATAGTCATGCACAATTCACAATTCACAATTCACAATGGGAATGAAAGGGAAGTCCAAGGTAAACACTTGCGGATGTAGAAGATTATAAAGAGATAACAGAGCTGAGAGATGAACGATGAAGGATGAAAGATGAAAGAAAGAAAGAGAGCCAGCGAGGTGGTCCACAGTTGTCTTCAGTTATGTTTGCTTTAAAGGACACTTTATGCTCAGAGCAATTTATCTACGAAGGACTCGATGCATTGAGGAAATAAAAAATTTGTTTGTCAGCCTCAATGCCTGTCGAATGGCTCATCCAAATGTCTTTTTAGGGTTGCATTGTGCGAAAAAGTGTCCTTTCTTTCGGCTGGTAAGGAAACCGGAAGTCCAACTCTCTCGCCTGCATGTAGGTAAAGATGTCAAGTCACCCAGTTGGAGTCTGGCCTTGTCCTGTTGTTACCCTAACACATATATCTCCTCTCTCTCTATATATATATAAATTGTCTATTGATTCTTTGGCTTCTGATTGTTTACATATTGGCGTATTTTGACAACTAAATTGGTAGACAGCCAGGCAGCCAACTCCTCGAGGTAGCTGCTAGCTGGTTGTTGGGCCCACCCAGTGGCCAAGTCCTGGGCCCGTGCACTTTATAAATTAAATGTCAGCCATACAGTTATTGACCATTTGGGTTGACACATGGCTCGATTTCCGGTCGCATTTCCTCTCTTCCTTTTTTTTGTGACTTTGCTTTCTTTGGCTTTTTGTGTACCCCACAGAAATGTGGCCACTCCTGCGGCATATCGCCGTGAAGGTCGCCCAAGCAATTACTTTGTGCGGCTAATAGCAACTGCAGTCCAAGGATGTGCGCTACCGTCCTGTGCTACGTGTGTGTGTGTGTGTCCTTGACTTGTGCAATTTGGCCTGGCTATAAGCAGCGGCTGTCCTTAGCTTGCTTCATTGATGAAAGTTGAGAATGCGCCTAGGGTGCGGCCTGCTCGCTTATCTAATAGGCAGAATGTTGAGATTGGACATCAGAAAGAGCTGCTTGATCAAGACAAATTTGCAGTTATATAATCAAATTGCATTATGTGTGAAGGCGCTTTGAAGCAGGTCCTTTGGGTCTTAACAGTTGGAATCATATCTCAGCTGAGCAACTCGCAGTTGCTGCTTATGATAGTCTTAGCTTATTATATCATATGATATCATATCATATAAATATCTTAGCTTCCAATAACTTAACATATTAGAACTATATACATTAAACTCATATCATATCATATCATAGTCGGATCATATTATTGTCATATCAAGAGCACACATCATACCAGCTCATATCATATATATTGCCTATAGTTCTATATCCATCTCCAGCAAATCGAGATCTATGCTCTGCCATCTGTCCAGCTGTCTTCCATATACATATCTCTACAAGAAACACCCATCTCTTCGAGACTCTTGACCCATCCACACAGCCGTAATTTATAAGGCAAATAATACTTCTCTCAGACACGGACAGCTTCGCATATCCCTTCTGACAATCTGTCTATGGCTCTATTCCATGTCTTTGCTGAGTGACCCCCATTTACATTCTCAATTTGTAACATTCCTTTTGCTAATGGCAGAGTCCTAACTGGACTGTAAGTTTCGGCCTTAGTTTGCTGCTAATGAGCAATTCATGTCAATTGCTAATTAGTGCGCTGAAGATTTTTATCTGCTTTGGCTGACTTATCGTGCCATTTTTATAACCCAGAACGCAAATGCAGTCGCTGTAGCTAAAGCCTGGCCCAAGGACCACGGCCCAAATACAATGGCCGAGAAATTAGCAAACCCGGCAAAGATAAGTCAATTAGGTTTGGCTTTATAGCTGCCAATGGCGACCAAAACAAAAGCCCAAAGACAGAGACAGGGACAGGCAGCGGGAGGTAGCGAGAGGAGGGCAGAGGAGACCGAGAAAAAGAAAAGCAAATCAAATAAAATGAGGCCAAATAAAGGCAACAATTAATAAACGCAAACACACAGAGCGAAAAAAAGGACGAGCGGATGGACGGATGGACGGATGCACGGGAGGACGATGCGTATCTGTATCGCTGTCTGTTTAAGGACATCGGCAGAGCAGTGCGCGCCGTGGAGTATCCTGACGTGTATGGGCAATTTAAGCTGGCATTGGACAAGCAACTGACAGTCGAGCAGAGGATGGCAGGATGCCAGAGACCCGCTACGTTTGTCGTTTAATGCCCCCAGAGAGACGCAATTGTTACATTTAATTGTTTTTTTTTTTTTTTTTTTTTTTTTTTTTTCGTTTTTATTTCTTTATTTTGTTGCAGCTTATTGTCTTAGACTCTATAGCGCATTTAGCTCTAAACCTTAACTAATGGGAGGGCAGATATGCCAATTATTCTGCACTTGTAGCTACTATCTTAATTAGTTCTAATATTGTCTAGAGGATGCAATCTCTTCAGTCTTCGCCTATTGTTGTTTATAGCCAGGTTGCTTGCGAGATGGTTAGGATGCGCTGCAAGTCTGTCCGCGTATCTTGAACTGTGTCGCCCAATGAGTTCAGCAACTGTGGGAATTGCTAAATCCCTATGTAAGACTGAGTTTCTTACAAACCAGCTGGCTCCAGTCCATCTGCGTAGTGCTTTATTCTGCAGGGTCTGAATTTTGTTCCTTGTAGTCTTCGCCGAGGAGCCCCATAGAGAGATACCATATACGAAGGTTGGGACAACTATTGCCTTGTAGATGGCGGCCTTGCTGCTGTAAGACAACTTGCTTGAAGCTCTCAGCATCCAGTCGAGGGTTTTTAGCTTGCTTTTGCATTTTGAGGTTACTTGACTTATGTGCGCTTTAAAAGTCAGCCTTCTGTCAAGAGTGATACCAAGGTACTTTACTTTTGAGGCTTTGGGAATAGTGGGCCCCAATGCAACGCTTGGGCAATCTCCTCTTCTAGTGGCGAAGGTAGTATGTACAGACTTTTGTGCATTAATGGTGATACACCACCGTTTTGCCCAGCGTCCGAA